AGCTGAACAGCTGAACAGCTGGCTTGTAATGCAGAGTAATACCGACAATGGGGTTCAATTCCTGCACAAGCTGAGGTTACTATGAAGGGCTCTCCTTCTCAACTTCTCCTCTTGTCTGCTACTCATGATCTTCAATCCCCAAACCATGTTCATAAATTTACCCCCTTCCACACCCAGGGTCTTTTAAAAGACTCATCATGTCATCATCTATTTGAACAGATTCTTTTCCAGAACTTCAGTGCTGTGAATCTTGGTTCTTCACATAATAATTGTAACTTCACTTTCATCGTCATCTACTACTTTTAGCCTTGGTATTGTTCTTTCCTGTAGGCTGCACTCCACCAACTTGTTGATTAAGGACATTTGACATTGAGATATTTTCATTCTTTTTATTTCATTACAAGATCTGTGTGTTTACACCATGAACTCAATCATGTATCTCATTGTATTTATTTGATAAATGTATACTGTTCCTGTTGAAATCTGTAGTTATGTAGTAATGCAAACCTATTTATCTTATCTGAATGTTTTACTATAGGGGAGTCAGCTTAGCTGGCGAGCGTGTGGTTCAATAATACTGTCACTGCAGGTTCCATTATGGCCCGGCTGAGGTAGACTTGAGTCTTGCCTCCTCATTCTGCCCGAGAGTGGAAGGCAGTGGCGAACCATAACGACAAATGCTGACAAAGAAAATAGGTCAGGATGAAGTATTAGCAAACAATAAACCAATGATTCAACATGTCCAATGGCAATTTAAAGATAAAATAAGCAGTAAAAAATATATAAATAGTTAAGAATAATAATGAAAAGGTTATACTACTATCTATGAAGGTTATTGAATGTTTTCAAATGCTTTCAAAGAGGATACCAATGACAGCTAAACTCTTATAGTAATCCCTTGCATTTTCTGTCAAAGTTTGCTTTAATTTAAAGAGGTTAGTCCCTTCTGTAGAATCACAATGAGGCAAATTTAGACAAATCCCTGGAAAACAGAGAACTCAGAGGATGATTCAAGAGAGAGAACAATTTCTGTGGAGTCCTTTTCTACTCAATATTACATAAAGAGCTTTATTTATGTTTTTCACGTGGTTGTGAAGTTGGACAGGCTGCAGCTTTGCAGCATAACATCCGCTAAAAATATTTACTCTCAAACTGGGAAGTGTGAGGTTGTTCTTCTCGAGATCTCTTGCCAGATTTTGAGTTTTCTGTTTCATTATTTGAATGCATGCATTATTAAAGAGAAAATTATAATAGACCTAAATTAATTAGTGACAGATGTAGGTATCTAATAATATTTCAAACATCTAGGCTTCTTTACATTATTGGAAATCTAGTTTATCAAGCTGTCACTTTTGGAGTTGAGGTACAAATCATTCATGATATAATTAAATAATGGAACAGGATCATAATAGGTAATAATGGGCTGCTCCCATTTCTAAATTTTCCTCTTTTTGGATACAAAACATTCAAACTTAAAATTGAGGCCATCTCATTGCATGTTAATGTAACAATGACTTTATTTTTTCCTGTCTTGCTGCCTGCTGCTGTGCCCAATGATATACTGAAGGATAATGTGTAATGCCTTAAATCCCAAAGACACAAGGAATGCACTTTTTCCATATGATTTTATCTTCAAATAAATCACAAACATATTCAGGCCAAACTCTGCAAAGCTGGTTTGGAACATTGAGGAATGACAGATATCTGAAGTATTTGCAGAACAAATGAAAGTGTCTGTCCACATGTAGAATTGTACGTAATATGTAAGGCAATTTATTCTATAGTATTCCAGTAGTGATCTATAAACACTGCAAGTAGCGTTATACTGTTGCATAATTCTTATCAGTGCAGTACTAGTCCGTTCTACAAGAATCTATTAACACAAAGTTGGCAACCACTCTGAAATGGAAAAGAATGCTCAATGCCATGAGTGATTGTAGTTGTACGAGATTTATTATCCGCACTTGGTGGGCCTACTCCTTGTGTGATAAGAACATGATAAGTATTTCATTTTACAAGCAGAAGTGTTGCACCACATGAACCTGTACTCCTAAATTCTGGATAGTGCAGACCCAGACTAGGACAATACTGTGACCGTAGTAACCTGATGCCGCAGAGTCAAAAGTTAGAGTTTTCTGCCTTTAAGATCAGTAACTCAGTGGTTCTCAAGCTACGTCCCAGGGATCAAAGGGTGGGGCGAGTGGAGGTGGTTATGTCCTTGGAGCCTTTCCAAAGTGTCTGCAAAACAATGTGATTATTGAGCAGGTACTGAACCTAATAGGAGAGCAAGCACCTAGGGTGTGACGGTCATGTCATAAGTCACAGTGTTCTGGTTAAAAGCCCTGCATGAGTTAATACGTTACATGTTAACCAAACCTGTAGCCTCCTGCACTGGTGCAGTTATTGAAGGAGGTGACACAAGAAATTAGTCACAGACCACTCTTCAGCCAGCCTCCCCACTGGTTTACCATGCTTAGAACAACAAATGTTATTTTAATTTAATGGGATTTTTACGAGCGTTCTGGGGGATGCATGTTGCAATTCCATCCATTTTCTCTAAGAAACAAGCGACATTTGGATTTAATTTAGAATGACTTATTTGCTGTTATCAACCATTGTATTAAGAATAGGCAAACTCTGCAGTGAGTAGCAGATACACCCATCTCACTGATATCTGCAAGTAAACACCTATTTTCTTAAAAGCATTGTTACAACGTATTCAACAACAACACTTTCATGGGTTCTATCTAGTGTTAAAATTTAGATGGGGTATCCAAAGCGTCATGCAACTTATTGGAAGCGACAGCACCAGCTCAAAGTTTTAACCCATTAATGTACAAATGGTCTGTAGATTGCGGGGACTGCTAAAACACAAGTAAAATACCTACTGATAAGACATACTGACTAGGTATGTCCCAAGGTCTTATTCCTGGTTCCTGAGTTAAATGATCTCTGCCTGGGCAAGTCACAGGGAAAGAGGGAAAAATAGTAAGGATCCTCACCTCCAGTTTGCTGTACAATAAACCCTACTTGGCTTTTCGTGAATGGACGCTGAAATAGTCAGGTTTAGCTGTGGTTTCCTACATGATATAGCCTACATTTATGGCACAGGCTCAAGTGAATTATGGTCACAAGTCAATAACCATGGCTGGCAAAGATAACATGCACATTTGTGCTGGTTTTTATAAGCCATGAACCTGACAGAATAACTTTTGCATCAACAAAAGGGAACATTTATTATTCATCTGGTTGCTGTAAAAGTCAAGGGAACAGTATTTACATTTAATGATTTAAAACAGGATTTTCATAAAGCCGACTGTAAACTTTCCAACCAGTCTCAGCATTCCCTATCAACAATCATTATTCTGTGCAAAATCAAATCAAACACATATACAGCGCCCATAAAGTTCTATTTTAATTAGTTACAATAACGTCTACCTCCATGACTGAGTCACAACATTACATTTTAACATAAACTAATTAAACACGTGCCTGAGTCAACAGGAATCTCCTCTAATTGTCTCCAAAAGATAATACTCAAACAAAATGTTCCAAAACAGGGATGGATTTGCAGTTGTCTGTAGCATTCTCGGGCTGCAGGGATTTTTATTGATGGAGTTGGTGATTGTAGCTAATTCCCTGTGAGTCAGCATCAGGCATTTAGCAGCTGGATAAGACAAAGTTTTCAAATACACCAATGTTCCCTCAGCTGCTAAGTGTAAGTTGATCAAGGTCAGCAATCCTGTGCCAAGCACCACCTACTTACAATGCTTGACATGGAACAGAGTTAGAAATTTTAATTAATGCTGCATTTACGCTTTTCTTTAGTAAGTGAAAAATCAACTTTGAAATAACATTTACCCATGGTTTGGTGATTGGTTTTCAGCTCATCTGTTGACACCAAAAGAAATTTACACTAATAAAGCTAATCCAAAATGAGGAATACCTGATGTAATATTAACCCTTCTTTAATATTAACTTTCCTGAAATAAACTATATGCTTAAGATGCAATTTTAAATCAAAAATCCAATCTATTTTGACAAACTTAGCCTTAGCTAACTTGTTCTAATTATGGGTATCAAGGGAAGAGCAATTTGACTCCTCATGAGGTTATTTTGTATGCTCTGTTAAAGTCACTGCTGGTTTATGTGACTTGTGGCAGAGGGTCTCTGTGGGTTAGCACACTTCATGCCCTGGGCCAAACAAAGCCAGACTGAAGGAATGATTATTCCTTTCTGTTGAGCTTCAGTGTCCTTACTAAATGCTATAGGGTAATTAAATTTGGGCAGTCTGAACCGAAGTGCCCAAACAGCCTGCATTAAAAGCGCTGACCCAGCTCCCTCCAATCTTAAAATTAACTCTTTGACGGACTTTCAGGGTATGTTCTCACTCAATATTTCTTCTTTTATCTCACTGTTTTTAACTAAACTTAGATGAAACTGCTTTGGGTACTGTTCCATTATATGAATACAATTGATTTTTGTCATGATAGATCAGCACTAAAATTGCAATGTAACTCAGGAAATTTATAAGGAAGACTGGTGTTGATTATGAATAGGGATTATACATAAGTACAGTATGAGGCATTCTTCTGACACTGTGATTAAATAAGAAGAGGGCAAAGCAGAAGAAGTTTGGTACTATCAGACAATGTGGTTTTCTTTTGGCGATGATGCTGACACGGTGCAACAATGTGGAGATGTTCTAATATTGAAATCTTTCCTATTTAGCACATGTAAAGGTATATGGTATGTCATATAATAGTTCATGTTGGGACTCACAAGTGCATGAAACAAAATTAGGAATAATAAATGTGTTCTTGGTAGGATACGGCAGTGCTTGTTATTTTTGTCTGACTTTCTATATAAGGCATGAATTGATGCCACTCCCTTACATCAAAAACTGATCACCAAGGATTACATTTGTAAAAAAATCAACCTATAGTATAGACAGGGGTCTGAACCACCATGTCAAGTAATCTGTGGGTTCTTGTACGTACATTGTTGAGCTTGAGCTTGCTCTTATCCTGTTTCTGCAAGTGTCCTGACAGGTGGTACAACACTGCCCTGCTTCTTCTTCTGTTGGCGTTGAAACCAGGTGGCCTGGTGTTTTGGTAGATTTCCACATCTGCAGTTGGGGTGACAAGATGAAAATATTGGCATTAGTTGAAAATGACAGAAAAATATGGAGAAATGTTGACAGAATTGCACAGACAAGGAATGATGAATGGAAGCGACAATTATTACTGAGCCCAGAACTTGACTAGAGAGCTGGTATTGAGATGTGCATCAAGGACTGCGAATGGGGCTTGAAGCCACACACTGTTCTGATTTAGTGAAAGCTGATGCAATAAGATTTGAGTTTGCTTCCATGTAGATATTTACTGTTAAATACCCTTCAAATATCTATGCTGTGCTGAAGTGAAGCCAACTGCTGTACTATAGAAATTTGCATACAATTGAGTCCTCTAAATGCAGTATAATAATTACCAGCTAGCTTCTTTTTTGATGTTTATTGAAGGATAAATATTGGCCAGGAAAAAAATGTCTTCAAAATAATTCCAGGGATCCTTTACATCTGTCTGACAGGGTCTTATTTTAATATCTTGTCTGAAATCCAACAGAACAGCACTCCCAAGCACAACACTGAGGTTTCAGCCTTTGTTTTTTTGTTTAAAGGCTTAAGTTGGACCTGAACCTGGAATTTTCTAACATAAAGGTGAGATATCCACCAACTACATCACAGCTGACAGGACAATGTATACACCTTTCTCAATGTTACCAATCATTATTCACTCAAAGGATGGACATTAAATTTCACGAAATATTTCATTGGTAGATACGGAAGCAAAAAAAATTGTTTAAGATTCAATCAAGACATTATTTGAATGCTTTGATCAGTACAGCAAATCATTACATCCAATTGATACCGATGAGATTTATTGACACCTTTAAAAACATCAATGTATAAACAAACTTCAAGACAGCTGATCTGTCAGTCTTGGGTCTGAGCAAATTTATCTGTTTGCTTAAAATTGCTGGCTTACAGCACCATGTGCCTTCATTTAATGAATACAGTTCAGATCTGTTGCAGCATTGGGAAGAAAGGATGGGGGCACTAGGATCGCTAGAATTGTTGGAAGGTAGGAACTATGTGGAGTTTGATGAATTAATGAAACAGTGGGACTTCCATCAAATTTACCAAGGCAGGTATTATGATCTAGTGACCCAAATTGTTATGGGTAATGGCCATTTGAAGTCAGTACCAGACAAGTCAGATCTCTGACAGGAATCTGGCTAGATAGAGCATAAGCTTTCTTTTTATTTTTGTTACCGATGTGATCTATTACTGAAACATTAGCATGCAATTCTGCGGTATTAACAGTAAAACAAATCAAAGTCTATTAACAACAGAAGATAAAGAAAAAACATGCTATTCTATTCCCTTATAACAAAGATTCAAAGATTTTAAACACCATAAAAATAACCAAGTATTCTTTTTGCATTGAACAGAAATAATAACTTCATATTGGGTTGAGTACACCCTAGTATGAATATTGTTGCAACTCTAAGAACCTCTCCTGCTGAGGTTACCGTGAAGGACTCTTCTTATCAACCTTTCCCCTCGACTGAGCTGTGGTAACTCTCAGGTTAAACCACCACCAGTCATCTTGAATGAGACAGCAGCCCTATGGTCTTCTGGAACCATAGAGACTTGGGAGTCCTAGTTGAGGATTCTCTTAAGGCCAGCATGCATGTTCAGTTAGGAAGGCAAATGCATTGTTAGCATTAATTTCAAGAGGGCTACAATATTTGGAACACTGTGAGCAGCTTTGGGCCCGTGTCTAAGGAAAAACATGCTGGCGTTGGATGGGGCCCAAAGAAAGTTTACAAATGTGATCCTGAGGATGAAGGCCTTGTCACATGAGGAGTGGGGGTTGAGGACTCTGGGTCTGCGCTCAGTGGAGTTTTGAAGGTTTGGGGGATCTCATTGAAACTTACAGAATACTGAGAGGCCTGGATAGAGTGGACGTGGAGAAGATGTTTCCACTAGAGGGAGAGACTGGGACCTGAGGGCACAGCCTCGGAGTGAAGGGACAACACTTTAGAGTTGAGTTAGGAGTAATTTCTTCAGCCAGAGGGTAGTGAAGCTGTGGAACTCAGTGCCATAGAAATCTGTGGAGTCCAGTCATTGATCATATTTAAGACGGAGATAGATAGTTCTGGATTAGTAAGAGGATCGAGGGAAGAAGGCAGGAGAATGGGATTGAGAAACACATTAGCCATGATCAAATGGTGGAGCAGGGTCAATGAGCCGAATGGCCAAATTCTGCTCCTGTATCTTATTCTCTTACAATCTAGGAGGTTTGGAGGAAAAGCTGAGGCCAGGACTGGGACAGAATAGCCCCTCTGCAGCAGTTCTGGAAGGGAATAAAAAAATGTAGGACTTGACAAATGTTGAAGGGAAGGATTCCTCTTGGGAGAGGGCACAAAGCTATGCTGATCAAAAGAAAACTGACGTAATTTTTTTTTCACCAGAAGTGTGATTGAATTGCAGTGGCACATGGATGGTATACATTGACTCTGGGGTGTTATTGGTCTACATTAAATCTATAATTATAGATCAATCAACAAGATTACAAGTTGACTGTGTACTGCATAGATTCATAACGTTAAACATATACATTTATATCTTGTACAGTGCTATTCTACAGTAATATTGCATTTGAAATATCTATAATCAGTGATAATGAAACAACTAAGTTTTATTATTTTAAGTGAACAAATAAACTAGATATTGCTACCAAAGTAAAATACAGCAGATGTTGGAAGTCTGAAATAAGGACAGAAACATACAATACAGCAGTACTGAAATTAACATTTTAGGTCAATAACCTTTTTCCAGAACTGGAAGAAGTTGGAGATTTAACAAATTTGAAACAAGTCAAGGGGTAGGGAAAGCAGAGGAGGGAGGGTCTGTAACAGGGTGAAAGGTAGAAGAGAAGAGATGGCCAAGTGGATGATCAAGCAAGCAAAAGGAAATGTTAATGGGATAAGTAAAGAAACAAAAGGTGAATCAAGAGGAAGTGTAAATAGGAGCATCACTACCGGTGATATAGTTCCTGGTAAAGATGGTGTATGACATTGTGAGGAACATGCAGTTTGTTATGTTCCCCTTATATGCTGCACTTGTCCTTCTAAATGGTGGAGGTTGTGTGTTTGGAGGTTACTGTTGATGCAACAAGTCGCCATGGTTCCAATGTATCTTATAGATGGTGTGCCAGTCAAGCTGCTGTATCCTGGATGGTGTAAAAATTCTTGAGTGAGTTTGGAGCTGCACTCATTCAGGCGAGAGGGGAGTGTTCCATCACACTCTTGACTTGTAGATGGTTGGTAGGCTTTTAAAGAGTCAGGAGTTGAGTTACTTGCTGGAGATTTCCCAGCCTCTGACCTGCTTTCGTAGCCATTTTATGTGGTCATGTGACCTATAACTGCCAGGATTGTTTCATAGTATTGACATTTCTTTCATGAGCATGGATTAAAAGCTTGAAATGTGGTGGCCAAGTTTAAACCAAATCAGACTCTGCAATTTGCAAACTGCAGAGCTGGAACAAATGGTATTCATGCAGCCAAACCTTGATCAAACAGACTCCCATTGAAGTCAGATAGGCCTGGAACTGCCTGGCCAGATGCTAATGGTCCCATTGTTTCAGTATGAACTGTTGTTTCCATCTCCAGTGAACCTGCTTTGTTAGAAGAATGCTAACTTGGTGTCACCTAGTTCAGTAAGAAGCCAGAGGCATTGTGTGACAAAGACAGCACTTGACAGTTGAAGGATCAAAACCATGTTATGCATTCTTCAAATATGGCAAAGTCACCTCATTAGATCTTCCTGCCCCTGCCTAATGCTAGTATTGAAAACAGGATATAGAATCTTTGAAGTGGGGTTAAAAAGGGGCAACCTGGAGCCCCAGCACACTCTGCTTTTCTCCTTCTTCAACAGTGCATCCAGACAGCACCTCTGGCTGGTGGCCAAGCTGCTCAGCAATTTCAGTTCCTTATACCTCATGGTGAGTATTATCAGTCTGACCAGACCCAGAAGACCACCTTGGTGAAATGACCCAAAGACCAGAACCAGTCTTAGACGAGAGGGGAAGCCCAAATCAATAGGTACAAATCCTGAAACATTAGCCTACCCTCAAAGATCAAGGTACAGCCTGACCCAGCATTACTGAATGGTTATTACTGGTCTTTTCAAACAATTCAAAAACAGTGGTAGGGACCTGTGGATAGGGTATAATGAATCCTCGGAAGCTTGTGTCAAAAGTAAATAGTCCATGTAAATTTAAGAATGTTCGCTGAAAAGTCCTGTGAAGACATTGACACAGTTTGACTGAGTTTAATTGAAGTACAAGGGTAGAGTCTGATAAATCTTGTTTTTCCTTGATAAAATGTTTGCTTAAGTTGTATTGGACCTTCCCCGACTCTTGTCTCCTTATATATCTCACTGGGTAATGTGCTAGAGTTAAAAAGGGTTACTACAAACTGGTCAAGGTTAGTCAGGATATATTTACCCATCTTTCACTTTACAACAAGTAATTATATGGCAAATTTGTTCAATGTAGAAAATTTTTGAAACCCCTGGCTGCTTACTAACAGAATAGAACTACAAGATTCCATAGTTTTGAACACAGAAAATAAACTTTACTGCACAATAATAGAAAAGTAATCAATCTACTACACATAAAACATTTACACTAACATCCAAAATTAACAAGAGGAAAATATGGATTGACTGACAAACTGTGGTTGAAAACTCCAACAGTTCATATCAAAGTGCTGCTGCAGTCCAGGCAGATTCTATGGATTCCATAGCAACCCAACCAGACATCAGAGAGTCACCAGTGACAATACTGAGGGATGATGATGTGGGAGATTAGATGTTGAACCCCAGGAGTTCAGTAATTTGAGGTTATATCAATTGCTGAGATCCCTTTATGAATTCACTGTACTGATACTGCACCCCTCTAGTTTTTGCATCCGTGGGGAAATGAATGGTCTTCATTCATCACCCAGCTTTCAGATGTATGGATTTGGGGGTTTATGGTGATGAAAGAGGTGTTGAAC